TGATTTGACTGTTAAGCGTATTTGCCAGTACAGTGACTTTAACAGAAGCTGCTGTCAAATACACTCGCCTCAGATAATTAGACCACAAACAATAAAGCCCAGTGTGACCACAGCTCAAGAACAGATTTCTCATTTTTAAAGAGCCAGAACACCTGTGCTAGAAGCTTATTTCTGTGTTTTGATTTGGTTTTTTTGCTGGAGATAAACTCCATTTCACTGCAGTCTTGTCTGTCCAGTGAGGCTGCCAGCGTGGTGCCCACTGGGCTTTATGAGGGAGGGGTTCCTGTCAGCAGTTCCATTCTGGATCTGGATGGAGGTTAGTAAAACACCTGAACTGATTAAGCTTTGTAGACAACAAATCCCTGATCTGATCAACATTTCTCTGTGTTTAGTTTTTAGTCTTTTGCCTCTCGCTGATGAGAAAAGAAAAAAATATTCTGATGATGTATATAAACATGAAAGCTCAGTGAAGCTACATCCAGACCAGCTCACAGATCCCAGACGGCCAACACCAGCTCTGAAAGGACGAGCACTCGGCGCACCACTGTTGCCATGCACTTTGAGCCTGTCTGACATCCTGGACTATAGCCAGAGATGCAGACCAGAACTTCTGGCTGAATGTCGTTGTTCCTCATGTAACAGCTGTAGCACACGGTTCCACTGAAACACTGCCTTACAGTTCTGGTCGGGTTAAACAAACCAGGTACAATGTTCTGAAAGGAACACACACACGAGGCTGATACTGACTTTATAATTTTCTTTTTTCTTTCTTCTTTTTTTTTTAAAGTTATTTTTTGGGGCTTTTTGCCTTTATTTTATAGGACAGTGGAGAGAGAGAGGAAAGTTTGGAGGAGAAGGACCTGCAGCAGAGGGTCATGGGTGGGATTCAAACCCCTGACCGCTGCGTCGGGGACTAGAGCCCTGGACATGGGTCACCAGCTCAACCAGCTGAGCTATAACACAGGCTCACTCTTTAGAAAAAAGCAAAAAACCTCAAAAATGTTGAAAATATATGAACGTTTTTAAATAAATTTGGCCAAAGTTAATCCTAATCAAAACATACACACCATTATATTAAATTTAAATTCCAAACAACAATAAAAAGCTGCAGGTGTATTTTTTAAAAATGTCATTCAGAGAACACATTCATGAGCAGATGAAGAGCTACTCCCCAAGATCAGCCCAGAAACAGCACCCATGTCACACAGCTTCCATCGAGCTGATGCCAAACACGTATTGATTCAACAAGCACAATCCTACACAGTGAGCCGTGGTGATCATCTTCTCTGGGTGATAAATCAGCTGAATCTGATGAATTACTGTGGAAAGAGAAGAGACTGCAAAAGATAGACGAGCACACCTCTGGACCAGCAGCTGCTCTGACAGACCTGTAGCTGGATCGTGCTGCTGGGCACTGATGGGGAAGGCCACAGCGAACAACTCACTTCTTTATTTGGTTAAGTCATTGTTTTCAATAGACAGAATCATTGGCTGCTCTGTAGTACAATACCACCAGAAGGATCCAAAGTGCAAACAGATTTCTTCGGACTGCAGAGTGTTTGACCAACAGCCAACAGGCCCAGTTTTGCATGGGTATGTATGTGAAGATGAACAGTTGTGAATAAAAGTTGCAAAGACCATTTATATCATCAAAGTCTTGAATTTTCAGTGATTTGAACAACTCTTAATTTTCAATGATAAAATCACTGATAAAAACTATTTCAGTTATTTCATAGATTCAGGCCTCGTCCACACGTATCAGGGTCTCTCACCAAACCAGGATCTGTTTCTACGATGTTTCCTGTCATCCACAAGGAAACACAGATTTACGGCATTAAAAATGATTCTTTCAAAAACCTCCGACCAAAGTGAAGATCTGTGAATCCTCCGTTTATACGTCTGCATGTGGACGTCAATAACCGGTTTAGGTTGAAACTGCCTGTGACAGAATCTGTTCTTTACACCACATCTGTGACCTGTGTTTACATTTGGAAACAGCGTGGACGCCCTCAGAACTGTGTTGGCGTTGTCTCTGGTCCAGGTCCAGATACCGCTCCACGTACAGGAACACAGGCGAAGGACGCCGTTCAGGACGGTTATTTTGCCATTCCACGTCTGAGGCATGTTCTCCGTCAGAGACACCGACGCCGGTTTTGGGTCAGACCTGGACGCACTGCCAGCTGGTGGGAGAACTTTGAGACGGAGGAACAGCGTGACAACTTCCATGTGTCCCGGTCGTCGCTCCTGTTGTTGGAGTTCTTACATCCTCACATAGAACATGAATGTGCTGAACAACGCACTGATGTGGTTAGGGGTGGAGGAATGCTTTTTCTACAAACCAGGTGCTGTGTACGTTAGTTTTATTCTCGACGGAGGGAGGAGGATATTTGGTTTTACAAAAACCCTGCTACGTGTGGACAATTCCTTAGAATAGGTCTGCTGGGTAAAAAAATATACATCCAGCAATTCTAATATTCAATTCAGTGTCCCATGGCCATTTTCAGCTCAAATAGGTGCTTTTAGTGGCCGTCCACAGGCTTCTGGCAAGTTTCTGGCTCTATCTTTGACCAGTCCTGTTGACAGAATTGGTGCAGTTCCACTAAATGGCCTTCACAGTCCACGGGGTCTAGATGGGGTTCAGATGAAGGCTTTGAGGAAGGCAGTATAAAGCCTGATTTAGCCTTTTCTTTACCACTTTGATCTGTTTGGGGTCATTGTCTCGTTGAAACACCCAGTTGCATCCAAGACCCAACCCAAGGTTTTCTGGAGAATATGGAGGCAATCCTCCTCCTCCTTCATTATTCCATTTTGTTCATATTAGCACCAGTTTCATTGGCAGCAACAACCAGAGCACAATCCTACCACCGCCATGTTTAATGGATAGGTGTGGTGATTTCTGGGCTAAAGGTCTCACCTTCTCTCCTCCAAACTTATTCCAGGTCACTGTGGCCGAATAGTTTTGTTTCATACGACCACAGAACGTTCCTCCAGAAGCTCTTTTGTTTGTCCATGTGATCAGCAGCAGACTTAGTCAACCTCCCAAATAACAACAGCTCCTAATTTGAGTTGTAATGGTTTGTAATTACATCCCACAGTTCATGTCTCATGGTGGGTTACAGTTGTACACAAAGCCCACGAAATCAAACCCTTACAACAAACAGGCATTAAAAATAGCTTTTCTTCAAATGTTAATGCTCCCTTAAAAAAAAGAAGAGTATTTGGGTCACGTACGAATGCTTGGGCAGCCTTCTACTTGTTAAGTGTCAGGACTCCATTAGGCCTTAATTAGTTAGATTAGATTACATTCATTAGATCACCAAGTGGTGCAAAGGGATAATCATAACTATTATTTTTCCAAATGAATAACATTTCAGGGGCTCAAGGTGCTTGAAATCTCATGAGGTTTTTTCAATGTGATGAAAATGTTTTATTTTATGGTCCTTGGGCGTGTTGCGGCAACATGGCTGAATCGTGGTGCTTCCAAAAAGTTACCTAAACTCTGACCTTTCATTGATTTAAGCCGAACTGTCAGCGTGCTGAGCTTCCCTGTTTTTCCATTAAAATTAAAGTTGCTGTAACTAAAACACACATTGTCCAAACTGCCCCAAACGCAGAGACTTGCAGGAACATTCAACAACCATAAGCTCTGACAACAACAAGCTGAGAACCAAACAATGGAACAAACTAATGCCTTTGAAGCAGAGGAATGCTAAAAAATATATCAAAGTGAAATATGATTAAGAAATGCAGCTCAGAGGAAGTCTGGAAGTCAGACAAATGCTCAACAAAAACAAACAAAAAGTGCTTGTCTATTGAATAGAAAGGCAAACAAAGCCTCCATCTGACTGCAGGCAGGTGTAGCTGACACAGGAGGGCTGGTGAAGGTTTAGACTCCATCAGGAGGAAACCGCTCCTCATTACAAGAGTGGTTTTGGAAACAAGTGCTGGTGACACTTAAGGAAATGTGTTTCTTTTTTGCCAAAATGAATGGATAAAATAAATACAGTCGTGACTCGATAATCCGACCCTTAACAATCCTAAACCTGCTATCCGAACCCATAAAAACAGCCTTAACATAGCGACAGCCTTGGATTGTGACTCCGACATGACATTTAATGTCACCAATCAGGATGACGGCGTATTATCTGACTGAACAATCCCACAGATTGGCTACGTTCACACTGCAGGACTTGATGCTCAATGAGGATTTCTTTGTGACTTCCTTCACGTTTCCAGTTCAATGCGACTTGTATGTGATCTGCTGTGTGAACTTCATACGAGCCAAAAGTGTCCCGCATGCGCAGAAGAGGACACGACGACGTCACACGCAGCGAGCGTGCTCAGTGTTTATGGAAGTAAACATGGATGGTAACGGTGGAGCGTATCTGCCACTCCCCCGCCGCCACCGATGGAGGAAACAGAAGTGTGAGCGCTAACTAAACTAGCATCAGCAGCCAAGTACTGCCTGTGTGTTCTGGACACTTCCACCCTGTCAGAGCGCTGCCCCGGGGTGGAAGTGTCCAGAACGTGCACAATCACACCGGTCAGTTAGGCTGAAATCCAGCCATGCATAGTGTTCTAACAATACACTAGTTATTATAACAACTATGAACAATAATTAACAACTAATGAGACCATGGACATGCTGCTATGATATCATTCTGACTGTGCATACTGTGGGGTGTACATATACTACACTGTTTATTGTCTGTATGAAACACACAAAAACTGCTTTGATAACATTTATATTAGAATCAAGATCTAGTGTGAATGTAAACGCCAGTTGAAAGTCAGTAATTGTACCTCACAGTCATTTGACTTTAAATCTACATGGTTAGGTACTGATGCAAAACAAAAGTGGCCCAACAGTCATGGCCTCCCCTGTGCAGACTGCACATTCTCACATGACAGTCAAACATCATAGAATATTGGTCAGATCCTTATTAAATACACACACACACACACACACAGAGTATGAAAAGGATAAAAGTGTGCAGTACCTTTGAACTTATGAAACACGGCCCAGAGTTCTGCGATGTCGGTGGCAAAGGTGATGTCTGTGTCCAGTACGATGACTCTCTGCAGGTCTGACGGCAGCGTCTTGGTGAGCACCAGCTTCATCAGCCCGTAAATCCCAGAGTAGTGTTTGTTGGGGATCCATGACACTTCAGACTGAAACACCACAGTACACAATGCTCGGGTTCATTTGCTGTTAAATTGACTGAATGTTATAATTCTGTAGTTTACACAACAGCTTTCAAAGTTTACAGAGCTCATAACTTGTGAGAAAAATAAAGCAGGAAGCTGTCAGATCGTTGAGCGCTACAGGCTCGTAAGTGAAGAGGTTTCTAATCGAAGCTGGGAGTCAGTGAGGTGAAGACGAGTCTGTGTTTCTCACTTTTAGTTCATCTGCGTCGTAGAAGTCCACCCTGACAGCAGGAACCATCCAGGTGTGGAACAGAGAGGACAGGATCTGCTGAGCAATGGAGTCTGTGATGAAATGGAAATGAAGAGGGTTCCGCCTGCAGACAGGAAAACACACACATCCCCAGGCTTGAGTAAGAGCTTTCACAGTAGCATCCTGCTTCGTTTCACATAAACCGCAACATACGTTCACTGGTAGCTCTAAAGCCCAACTGTGCTCGAAGGAACCATCCGTCCCTGATAGCATTAAAGTTGGAGAAAAGTGTGGAGAAGAGCTGAACAATGTCTGGATTAACTGGGACAAAAAAAAACAAAAAAACATTCTGAGAAACAATGTCAGCCTGCCCTGGACCGCAGGAAAAAAAAGTCTGGGTTGTTGCTGACGTCCTGTAAGTTTTTATCATATAGTTGTATATAGCTGATTCGTACCATCACTGTTAAATTATCTAAACAGTCACACTGTTCAGTAAAGACATAAAAATAAAAAACTAAAAAAAAGTAGCTGCCAGACCTGAAATGCCTGTGTAATCTGTAGCAGTAGGCTACGATGATGGACACATTCCCTCAAAGTAAATTCTGATTTGGCATCAGCTCCAGGCTGAAGTATCTCTGCTGTACTACTAGAACCACTCTTTGACTTGCGTACCACAGTCACAGTCAGCATTCCCACATGGTGTGAGACTTTCAGATCAAACCCTACCGCTACAGTTCCATCTGCTCATTAAGACTGTGACGTGACTGAAAGCTCCAGAACAAGTGAGTAATTGGACCATGGTTAGACATTGTGCAGTCGACATAAATGATATATGTTTGGGGATAAGTGTGTGTGTTCTGCCCTGAGGCTGAATGAGGCAGTCACAGCACAGCGGAGGAGGTGATTCATACGATAGGACGACCAAAGCTTCTTCCGGAGAAGACCGTACAGTCTGTATCCTACGTCAACTCGTACTGAGAGGGTGGGGGAGTTTAAAATAGGTATTCAGGACTTTGAATCAGGTCAAGAGAAAGGGACACTGAGCTGAGGATGTGAGCATCCCAGGGTGTCTTGTGCTGAATGACTTCAGGAATGAATGTGTCAGCTGCACTTGCTCAATAAGCGCTGGAGGTTGGGAGCTGTCAAAATGTATCGGAGCTCAGAAATTCAGAAATGCTGTCAGCCACAGCAGAACAAACAGAACGGGTTTCACATCCTCTGGACAAACAGCAACAAGTCTTTGAGGGATGCTCGGGATTATGCCGATAAATAAGCAAATATGTCAAGTACATCCTGACGATCTGACCTGTGCCCATGACAAACTGATGATTCCATCTGAACAACGCAGCTCTTGTTTCACTGAAAACCCTCAGAGCAGACACATACTGAGATCCACTGTGCTCCTGTCTGCTGAGAGCGGAGTCAACGTTTGCTCTTCTATGTAGTGTTGAGTGTCTTAATGAGGTTCCAGCACCTAAAGTCAGGTTACTGGCTCTTGTCCTCCTCACATTATCATTATTATTCTCTTTAAGCAGATGTTCTTTGTTGTCCTCTGCTTAGGAACATAGAACATCTCCTTCATGCAGGCGTGTTTCTGAGGTGACTGTCAGACAGAAACGTCTACCATCAGGAACAACTAAAGCTTGAGCTGTGGGCCCACTATGACTGACTGAATGCAGCTCCTGGTGTAGACACAGACCCAGAGTGTTCTGTAACGAGCTCAGCATCATCAGCCTGAACAGCACCGTGTGTAAAGCAGAACTTCCCTCTGACACCGACATGGTTTCAGTGAGGCTGATCTGGAACCCAACACGCTGTGCTGTACGGCGGTTTTTAGTGTTTGACCTTTCATTAACAACAAGCTGAGGCCAGCCATGAACACCAATCAGGTGCTTTTGCTAACATTGTGTTAAAAGATGAGAGAAACCTCCCTGAAGTGAAAACCTTCTTTTGTTTTGTCCTTCCCAGTAAAGGCGAGGGTTTAGTTTCCTCCACTGTCACCAAGTGCTCTTTAAAGGAAGCCTGAAACGTAGGATTTGTTGGGTTTCTCTGTGGAACATGTGTGAGGTCTTCACCTCTGTGTGTGATGACATGTTGTGAATCTGAAAAAAATAAACTGAATTAAACTGAACTACTTCTCTTCTGACTTATCAAGCTTTCTGCGTAATTTTTCTGTTTCCCAAAAATGCAGTAATGAAACTCAACAGGATGGTATGTTTTTATGACTCTGTTGACATTTTGGTTCTATTTGCAGACATCTGAAAGAAAGAAAATTCCCAACAAGTCTTCTATCTTCATTTAAATCACTTCTTAAAACCCACTTTCATAGACTCACTTTAGAGGGATGTTCTCTTTTGTTTCTCTTTTAGATTTTTCTTTTCCCGTTTATATCGGTACCGCCCGCTGTCCGTCTCTCTTTTCTCTTTCTTAATCTACTTCTATCTTCAGCTTTTATCTTAACTCCCCTCTGTGATGTCGACGTTTTAACCAGTTGTACTAGTTTTATTAGAACACACCTTCCAGCCTGTCCTTTTCCATTGTTTTTATTCTGAGTGTTTGCCTGTAGTTTTCATGCACGTTGTTGTGTTCCTGTGTTGCCTCGTCTCAGCATGTGTCGTATTTCTTTATCATGTAAAAGCACTTTGTGAATTCTGTTCTTAAAAGGTGCTATACGAATAAAGTTTATTCTCATTATTATCACTAGAAGTGTTTTCAGTATTTCAGTGAAGATGAAGCCACAGCTATTTTAAACGCCTTAAACTGCTCTTTCATAGCTTTGTGTCTGTTTTCATTTTACCTTTAAGCTAGTTATAGTTGTTTTACATCTAAGTCTTTTAATTAAGTCCAGTCCGAGGTAATGAAACCTGTTATGTGTTTTTGGCTCATTTTAACTGAGACCTAAACAACATGGCAGACAGTCATCACCCTGGTGCCACCACAGCGAGTCAACGGTGAGCCAAGGGCGGTGAAGACGGTGGTCATAATAATAGAAACCACAGACGGGACGTGATCTTTGACCCTTCTATGACCTCCTTCCTGAAAGGTTTTAAGAGCACTGCAACAACATCACGCTACTGTAAAATAAAACAGCTGTTATCATTCATACGACCACAGCAGGTCAGCCGTCAGCAACACGCTCACAGAGGTCATTTAAAGTTTTTGATGATGACTGACGTGGCCATTTTTCTGCTGAGGACAGCCTCAGATTGTCCCGACAGGACATAAACAGCTGCTATTGGACAGATGAGAATGATGGGAAGCCCTGCTGTCTGACTGAGTGCAGCAGAACGGGGCCATCTCTCAGGTGGGACAGCATCAGTCACACAGTGAGAGTCGTTGTGCAGGGCTCTCCATCACCACGGCCAGAGATGAAACGGCGGCACGCGTTTGATTTACAGCACAGGCTAAACAACTTACCGCTGCTCCAAATTAAATGACAGAAAAGTAACCATAAAGAATGAAATCTTTTGAATCTTGTTTCACAGGGAATTTATAGCATATTCAATATTTCATTAGAAATCTACAAAAGGGAAGGAATAGAGCAAGAGGAGCCATTTGATAAAAGCTGCAGGTCAGCTTCTTGCAGGGTCAGGCTGTGTTTGATGACCAGTGTCCCATGTCCTGTTCCGCCTGTTTGTCATTCAGCAGGACGGCCTACGCTATCGGATGACAGTCCAGCAGGCTGACCTCTCAGGCATCTGCCTGCTCGTGTATTTGTCACTCAGCGGCAACAGTGAGTCAACATTTAAACATCCCTCTGATTAAACAGCGCTCGCAGGAATTAGCATGTTAGCGATGCTGCTGGTGACACGTCCAACGAGATCCATCCGGCGCCACGCTTCAGTCGGCCTTACATTCTGCTCGCTTCATGATGCTAATCTGAGCTGGACGGTGAAAATGAGGTCTCATCTTTCATCTGACTCTCTTGTAAATTTTCAAAAGCTTTTCATCCATTTAGGCTCACATTAATGCTCTGATGCCTGAGCAGTCTGAGCTTTATTTCTACCACCTACTGCTACACGTACAGGACACTGAGCCCAAACCTGCAGCCACCTAGTATGTGGTTGTAGAATGTTGGTATCTTAGATCCCATTGTAGATTGTTTTTTTTTTTTTCCAAATTAAAGTTCCACCAAATTTGAATCAGTTTGGTGAAATATCTGTGTATTAATTGATATTTTTGTGACTCCTGTCAGTAGAAGTGGAAAGTCATGCTCCATCACTTATCGTCTCAGATTTGTGATCTTTCTTTGACTTGTCTTTCAGATCTGACAAAGATGTTTTGGGCAGATTTTACAAAGTGTTGCATGAAAGATTTTCAGGCATCCTAACTGGAAATCTGATAATAAATGATGTCACCCAAGAGAGAAGCTCAGCTGACTGGTTAGTGTACGTGTGCATTCTGAGACACGAGGATGTCGTTTCTGATGCAGACAGCATCAGCGTGTTGTGATTCTACAGTATGTTATTCCCACTTGGATTTATTTCCTATTTGAAACCACTCTCACACTTTGTGATAATTAAAATTAGCATGTTTATAAATAACACTGACGTTGTTGTGGCCCCCTACATAGCGCTATCAGCGAGAATATTTTTACCTGACAAAAATCTTCATTTAATTTAGTTGCAATCAAAAAAACACAGAGGAGCTTCGCTGTTTCTGGCCCAAAAAAAAGTAATCAGTAGCACATTGTGAAGGTGTGTACCGCAGCAAGAGGTAAAGAGAAAATTACATTTATTCATAAATAGCATAAAATCAAATTACAATTGCAGGTCTGAAGCTAATTAAAAGGAAGTGCTGTTCACAGCTGAGATGCTGATTTCACATTGACTGATCGCTAACAGCTCCTCCATTACTGATGCTAAATGTACACCATTCATTATTTATGTTTATTTAAGACTGACACAGAGTGATGTTTGCACAGTTTAACAGTAAAATGCTTCTGAGTCAAACACAGCGAGTGCAGGCTCACTCTTCTAACAGGAGATCTGCTGTATGACGATGACCAGGCTCTGACTGCTGAGCCCCTCTACTCACATGTTGTTGTTAACCTGAGGTTGCTGCAAAAACCCAAGAGAATGAAGTCCGTCTGTCACGTAGACGAACCCTCAAACATCTGTCCATGTTCAGCATACACTGGAACATTGTGTCATTGATGAAACAGTGACACTTAGTGAAACGGCAGCGTTGTTGATTCTCTTTTCATTCTCCTTCTCTCATCTCTTTTATTTTCCACCATAATTATAATGAAATGTTTTGTACTTTAGACATGAGATTCTGGCACATTACGCCGGGCCATCAGAGGAGCATCAGCTTGAAGTAAAACTCATTGTGCAGCACAACAACAAACCTAAACATCGAGTCAGTCAAAACAAACTATCATCCACGAGAAGGAGGAGTCCTGAAGGCTGAACCACGCAGCAGGTCTGCCACAGCCGAGGTAAGTCCCATTCAGAGATAACAGGTATCACGAAGGTGTTCATCAGCTTTCTTTGTCAACTCAGACTTTCTGCTTCAGACTTTGTGCACATAAAAGGAGGCGTTTAATGCGTCATGTGACTCTTCTTCTGCTCAGAATGAAACAGTGCCATCCCGCCTACTTTCATCAGCAGCTTGTTTTAATAGCGAACAATGAGGAATACAAATAATTTTAAACAGTAAAAAGCACCGCTACTGCAAATGATGCAAGACAGGAATGCTGGTAGAAACTGTTAAACGTGTTCATATGTTTATTTTAGTGATTGATGCAGTCGCTTATTTCCAACTGACAGCTGCACATTAAAACTTTAAACTTCATACATTTAACCATGATCTTGTATTGAGGTGCATTTAGGTTCAACTCTGTCCCATAATGCAGGAGATCACTTGAGTTTTTGGCCTAATCAAAGCAAATTTAATGTTATTGATTAAATATTCTCTGTAATAAATACCAGTAGAATAATACATTTTTTTAAATCTGTTGTCTATCAGCTGCAGCATCAGCACAGTAAACGGACGTGACAGCAAACCAGGACAAAACATAAAAACATTCAGTTTCTGCATCACCAACTAAACACAGTCGTGACTCGATAATCCGACACTAAATGTAAAACCTTCTATTATGTCTGATTGTCAAGACGGAGGTCCAGATACAAGGAGGGCTTGATGCTGGAAGGCTCATTAGTTGGTAATATTCATTGTTTACAGTTGTAATAACAACTAGCAGAGGTTTGTCTGAATAATGTTACAGGGCGCTGTACCCTCTGACCAAAATGCCGACTGAACCCTGGTAACACTTGGGCCATGTTCTTACATGCTGCCATACAACATGCAATCCTCCCATCACCATCACAAGACAATGTGTCTGATCATCAAAAATGTTAGAATGACTCCAGCATGTTCCGATTGCGTTACATATACCGTTAGACAGTGCAAATGGCGTTTTGCACTGTCTAACCGTCATGGCGTTTTCCATGCCGAGGCGCCACTTCCACCCCGGGGCAGCGCTCTGACGGGGTGGAAGTGTCCAGAACACACAGGCAGTACTTGGCTGCTGATGCTAGTTTAGTTAGCGCTCACACTTCTGTTTCCTCCATCGGTGGCGGCGGGGGAGTGGCAGATACGCTCCACCGTTACCATCCATGTTTACTTCCATAAACACTGAGCACGCTCGCTGCGTGTGACGTCGTCGTGTCCTCTTCTGCGCATGCGGGACACTTTTGGCTCGTATAAAGTTCACACAGCAGATCACATACAAGTCGCATTGAACTGGAAACGTGAAGGAAGTCACAAAGAAATCCTCATTGAGCATCAAGTCCTGCAGTGTGAACGTAGCCAATCTGTGGGATTGTTCAGTCAGATAATACGCCGTCATCCTGATTGGTGACATTAAATGTCATGTCGGAAGTCACAATCCAAGGCTGTCGCTATGTTAAGGCTGTTTTTATGGGTTCTGTTGGTTTTTTCCTAAAAACCCGTTGGACAGCAGGTTTAGGATTGTTAAGGGTCAGATTATCGAGTCACGACTGTACACGTTGGGTTCCCATGGTAACGTAATACATTCAGTGATGTTAGTAACACACAACTCAGCATGTTTGCAGATAAAACACATTCCCTGGATCTGGATCGCTCATAAGGAATCATAAAGAAACCATCTCCTTAAAGAGAGACGCTCCTTCAGCGGATTTAAATCTGAAACTCTGAACAGAACCTGCTCCTGACCAGGTCAGCTCCACAGCATCCCATAGTTAAAGAGAGACACCTTCATGGCACTCTTCAGGCTCAACATACCTCGCTAACCCACCTCTGAAGTCTGCCTCAGCCTGTTTTCTGATTTTTGTTTGCCTGTCTCTGGCCTTTTTTCTGTCTTGTGTTTGGGCCTCCTCATTTTCTGAACCTTAACACCTATGAAATCTCCAGCACCTACTAACAAATAAGTTCATTCATCCCTAAAGGAAAAGAAATGTTGCAAGTTGCTGTTAAACATTTTTGCAAATACATTCAGCATCAACATTTCTGCTTCCTGTTGGCTGTTAATCAACACTTGCTCATGATGGTACAAAACAGTTGCAGAGAAATTCAGTTTCTTCTGTTTTCTGAGTTTGTCTACCACTCTGAGAGGGAGCAGGGCCAGTTTGAGACGGACACACAGTAGGACAGAGTGTTGCTGTACCTGTGGAAGAGGACCGATTTCACCAGCGTCACCACGTCTCGGCTTGCGTTGTAACCTGCACATACGATGGCCACGTGGATGGTCTGTGGAGAGGATGACAGAAGGGAAGAAGCAAACACTTGAAATGACCTGACTATAAAGGAGAGATTTATTCCAAACACTTGGACAATGTAGACAAACATTAACTGTAGTGAAATGGCTGAGTGGAAATAAGAAACAAAAACAATTTAGCTAAAAAGCACAAAATGATGTTTTTTAGTTCAACAGTGTTTACAGCACATCCAGCATTCATTAACTCACATCAGAGGATCAAGACAAGCATTTAGATGAGCCACAGTGATATCAAGTCCTCTGCTTATGGTCTGTTTCCTTGCAGCCACACATTTGCAGTGTTGTTGAACCCAGGCATGAAACCCTCTAAAGCGTAACCAATATGATGTCAAAATATTTTACTCAACAGTCCAAATGCTGCCTGCCTTGTTGTTGATGAACACAAATGAGAAGCAAACAAAAGAAAGAAGCTCCCTGAGGAAATGTTCATTGCTGTATGTATCAGGTCGGTTTAAAGGGAAGTCCTTGTTATTCTTTGTAGCCTAACTGCAGCCACTGACGGGAAACTGCCTGCACTGGAAATGATGCTGTTAACCCTTCATGGCATCATACGAAGTCATGCAGGCACTAGAATGTGTAGAGATGTATGGACTCACAAAGGGATGTTCAAACAACAGGTTTCTTTGTTTTTTAGTCATTTCATGTATCTACTGGTTTAGAACGTCTCACACTTAAGATACGTCCAAAGCCTCTCATTATATGTATGAGGGTACTTCAAAAACTTCTCGGCTGCAACCTGAAGCGAGGGGTCTGACTCCAGTTTCAAAGTGGAAGGGTTCACAGCTTCAAAACTGGACAAGGCGTGTCAGTTGGGAGTGCAGCAGGAGCTTAGTTGTTTCTCTCTTCAACAACCACGTGGTTGTGCACTGACAGTCGCCCCCCAGGGGTGAACGCATGTCCTGAGGTGTCTGAGGCCTTGTCCACACGTAGCAGGGTTTTTGTAAAACCGAATATCCTCCTCCCCCCGTCGACAAAAAAACTAATGTACACAGCACCTGCTTTCTAGAAAAAGCATTCCTCCACCCCTAACCACATCAGTGCGTTGTTCAGCACATTCATGTTCTATGTGAGGATGTAAGAACTCCAACAACAGGAGCGACGACCGGGACACACAGAAGTTGTCACGCTGTTCCTCCGTCTCAAAGTTCTCCCACCAGCTGGCAGTGCGTCCAGGTCTGACCCAAAACCGGCGTCGGTGTCTCTGACGGAGAACATGCCTCAGACGTGGAATGGCAAAATAACCGTCCTGAACGGCGTCCTTCGCCTGTGTTCCTGTACGTGGAGCGGTATCTGGACCTGGACCAGAGACAACGCCAACACAGTTCTGAGGGCGTCCACGCTGTTTCCAAATGTAAACACAGGTCACAGATGTGGTGTAAAGAACAGATTCTGTCACAGGCAGTGACGTTTTAAACCTAAACCCGGTTATTGACGTCCACATGCAGACGCATAAACGGAGGATTCACAGATCTACACTTTGGTCTGAGGTTTTTGAAAGAATCGTTTTTAATGCCGTGAATCTGTGTTTCCTCGTGGATGACAGGCCACATCGTAGAAACAGATCCTGGTTTGGTGAGAGACCCTGATACGTGTGGACGAGGCCTGAGTTACAACTCAAATGACCTGAACTGGGCCATGGCATGGGGGTCATGGGGGGCATGGGGGTGCCTGTATGTACTGTGAGCTTGATTTTTGGACACAACTACACAATCGTCACTCCCCTGTGACTTCTTCCTCTTCCACAAAATGACATTCCAGTTGAACGATCACTGTTCTGACACAGTTTAGGAGACTCAGCACCGACTGCAGACGGTCTCTCACATTTTTGCAAAACGTGACTTCCAAGGAGTGCTAGAAATGCTGCAGGAGCACTGGGAGCAGTGTATCATTTCACAAGGAGTGTCCAGTTTGACTTCAGGGACAGTTTAGACGCTTACTGTCATCGTCTCTGAACTTTCTGATGACTCCTCGTACATCATCTGTGGTAGAGCACAGTCCAGTGTGGAGCTGTGTCGAGTCACGTTGCACTCAGAAGTGAAGTTCATGTGCTGTATGTTGTATGTATCCCAGTCCACTTGACTGACGGTGGGAGCAGGACTCCAGACTGCAATCAGAACGGTTGCATCAGAGTTGATCACGAGGCTGAAATCGGGCCTCTTCAGCCAGAACAGGTAGCTGCTGGTTGAAAATATGACTAGAATAGAATAGAATAGAATAGAATAGAATAGAATAGAATAGAATAGAATAGAATAGAATAGAATTCTATTCTATTCTATTCTATTCTATTCTATTCTAACATTATGCTGGATTTTTTCCCCTCACAGTTCTGGGTTATGGCTCCAATTATAGCTCCAAATGTCTCTCCCTGATGCTAACTTGACATGTCAAAACTCCATGTGCGTTCTCTTTCCCCTCTCAAAGCGGCCACACTGGCTTTCCTGCAGGCCCGGAGTAGCTGAGCTAACCCTCCAAATGAGCAGAGGTCATGTTCAAGCTTTGCTGGAAGGGTGCTACAGCCCTCTCCACATTTCTCCCCTTCCGACCCTGAAGGAGCTCTGCTTTCCCTGCAGTCAGCTCACTTTTCAGCAGTGCCTGGCTGTAGCTGAGGATGCCGTGTGAGTGGCAGCTGGTGTGGGAGGAAAGTAGAAGGTGGTGATAAGAAACCATCTGAGGGCATATCCTTTCTCAGAGTGCGATACACAAACCACACACCTGCCAGGGAGACGGCATGAGGTGTGTCTGTGTGCCCGTCTCTCGCTGTACTCTGTCCGAGCGTTACGAAGACATAAAAATGCATCAGATATAATGAAGTGTCAGGATACTAATGCATAAGGTGAATCTAATCTCTATTTTTTACTAAAATATGATATTCAGATACAAAATCTACCAACAGATGAGGTAAAAAACGAGTTCAGCAATGAGTGAAGTGAATGAGGAAACAGCTGATCTTTGGTTATATCTGAGCGAGCAGCCGTTTGATTCTGTGTGACGGCGTCCACTGGTCAAAGTAATGCACACGGACAAATCACACATAAACATGACGCTCTGTCATTTTACTAATGTAACTATTCAAATACAAACTGATGGAAAAGAGGAAGTACAATTTTCACACCTTTAACTTCATAAAACTAGAATCAGAGGTTCCACGTTAGGTGACCATGTTTAGAACCTCCTTGGGGACTGACAGGTGGAACTTGTCTTATTTAAACCTCTTTTATCTCGGGCCTGCTGTTCTCTCTGAGTGTGTGCGTGGCATCTGCTAAGATCAGAGAGCGCTCTAAAGCCTTCAGAAAATAGGCTGTGGACGCCTGTAGGTTTAAGGGGTTTAAGAGGAGCTCCAAATAATCTGAGAGAATTCATTCTACTGGGGAGAACATAATGTACAAGCGGTGCAGACTTCAAATGTGTCCAGGACCTGGACAACCGAGTGACCCAGAACCCTGAATTTGGGGATCTGCGGGTGACCTGCATGGGAGGGGTGGCAGGAACAAAAGCTGCTGCTGTCCAAAAAGAACATGAGAACAAAACTATAGTTTGCCAATAAAAATGTAGGCAAAGAGCTTCCAGACAGATGAATGTTGTGGATGGATGAACGGCCACAGTAACAGTAAACATGTCTGATGCAAACCGGAAACTGATTTTCATTCTCATACTAGTTGTGCAGCACGAGGTGCAAAGTGCTTCCTTGTCTGTGGGACTGGGCAACGTGTAACCCTTAAACTATGAGCTGTGAATTCTGCACCATGTCAAAGAGCGCTGGAAGACAATGTAAAGCTATCTGTCTGAAAGCTGATATCAAAATGGACCTTTCAGTGGAACAATGATTCTAAGTTCCCTAAAAATCAACCAAGAACAAGCTCAGAAAAAAGAAAAGGAGACTTATGGAATTACCAGTAACACATACAAGAAACCCCTCAAACATCTTGCAGCTGAAGGAATGCTGTCCTCAGAGTGGACCACACTTCAGCCAGCCGGTGTCAGGCGGTGGTGGTCAGTCATGCAAAACGCTTACAGGAAGTGATTCCTGCTCAAAAGCAACACTTGCTTCCTTTTGATGAAAAGCATTTTTTTCCCTATTTATACGACTGCATCTTTCTCCTACCGTGTCAGAAGCATACTCCCAACAACAGGGCTTCAATATATAATATCTATACCATACCTGACATATGAATCAGGCACGTGGGTTCTGTGAGTTCTAAGTACTGGTATGTACTCTCACTTTCAGTCCAATTCATTTCCATACGGTCCACGAGCTCTGTTTTGTATAAACACTAAAATAAAAAATATCTGGCACTCACATAGTGTCCTGGCTCTTTAAATGTTTATATCGAAAAGCAAGAACAGGCCTCATAACCTGGAATACGTAAGCACTCTCCATGGCTACAGGACAGGCTCGTTTAATGTTCAGCAGTGTCATTCAGTACACATCTTTTTTTCACTGTCCAAATGTAAGGATACTTATCCAAAAGGTCTGTTTATGTATATATTGTATATATTTTTTAAAATGAACATCCGGGCGCCCCACAGCTCACCTCGCTGAGCAGGCGACCCATGAACAGGCTGAAGTTCCCCCATGCAGCGGTCGTGGGTTCGACTCCCGCTCACCACCCTTTGCTGCAGGTCTCTCCCCGTTCTTCTCCCCCTTTCCTGTCTGTCTCTACTGCTCTAAATAAAGGCAAAAGCCCCCAAAATCTACTTAAAAATAAATACAAACATTACAAATGACCATTTAGCAATACGTCAGTTTCAACTTCCAATAAATATATTGGCCTCCAAAAGGCCTCCAGGAGAAGTCAGGCTGCTGGGCTCACTGTTGTGGGAGTGTTTTATTTTATTTTATTGTTTTTATGTATTCTTAAAAACCAAAGCCCAGATTGCAAAATAATTTGACTTGCCTTGACAATTAAATAATTTCAGTACTTCAAAAATAAATAAATAAAAAAAGGGCTGACAAACACCATCTACTTCCAGGAACCTATTTCACAGCAGGAGGAACACGTTCTGTTTCTGTAGCAGGACAGCAGAGGAGCTTTAAGTATAGGCTGCTCCAGTCATCTAGAAGCAGCCCCAGTGAGCTAAAAGCTGATGTGCTGTGGTGCTGTGAGGTATCATCGTGGAAATCACAGCATGGCTGTGTGGAAGCTCTCATATTAGCCAGCCCTCTGACAGAGGACCGCACCCCAACAGCAGAGCATCACTGCTGGAGGATTAGGCTGATCCAAGCCAACAGGCAGCGTGATTTCACAATATGCTGATGGAGCTCTGGTTCTTGGAAGCAACGTCAAAGGTCATAATGCATTAGTGAACAAAAGCAGGCTTTGACCTACATGTAGCCGGTGGAACATTTGGCAGTTATAACAAAGCAAGTGGTTTATGACAAACGTCGTTATGTTCCGCATGTCTTACCTCACACTTATCCACCACTGGCTGCTGCACACAGTCGGAGCTGTTTCCCACTGCTGCAGCTTTCTGGCCCTCATTGTCGCCGGTGCCTTCCTCTGAATGGGTTCGGCTTTGGTTGCCACGGTGACTGCTATTTGGAAGGCGTGCAGACGGGCTCCTGGGTGGCCGGCTGAGCTCCCGGCGCAGTGCCCTGTTCTCCTCCTCCACCGCACGCACCCTCAGCTCCAAGGCCTGCCGCTCGCCGCCTCCGCCCACCAGCGTGGATGACTGGGCTTCCAGAGGAGACAGGGGAAGGGGCTTCACTGTGGGGACAGAGAGGCAGAAACAGATCAACACCAGGACAACAAAAACCTCGACGTCGAGCACGGATGACGTTTAACAGTGAAGAAGTGAGCAGCAACATAAACACAACCTGTCCGTATCACACACTTCATGTGTTTGCATTATGTGTCCTTTGTTTAATTCTCACTTTCAAATGAAAACTGAATCCTGAACTCAGTTGATCAGATGTCTCATGGACTGTTTGTTCACCTCATAAAACTAAGTCATTTGAAAAAAGTATGATTTGCATATATTTCCTAGCATGCAGTTTCACACCAGTCAGAATCTTTCATGATTCTGATGTGATGTTTCTGAGGAGTTCTGACTCAACCTTGGGCAGGAACAAAAACTGCAGGTCCTGGCTGTTACTGGCACATGTAGAGAAGCACTGGGCTTCAGGGTGATAGAAGCGTTGATGTGCAACTGGTACAGAAGGGCAACCTCTGGAGCGAGGTGACAGCTGATCCGTTAAGTTCTCTTCAAAGACGATGCACTGCTTTCTGGACACATAAACAAGACCCTATGAAGACATGTTTGATATGTGCACTTACTGCCTCAGAACAAGTTCTTATGAATGGAACTGAAATGTTGCTACATTACCACTAAGAGGTGTGAACTTCGTTAACAACACGACACAGTGAAATGACCAGAAGACGATAAGTCATCTGAACTCCACAGTGCAGGAGTGGACACACAAGCTGTGGGAGAACAGTCGTAACGCAGGGCTCTACTCTGGACTCAACGCACTGTCAGCACACTGCTGAAGGATCTCCTGGTACCTTCCTTCATTTTCTTGGATTACTGGAACTCCCTGTTCACTCCGAGTCTGGCCTTCCTTCACTGGCTCCCAGTAAAATTCGGAATAAACTTTAAAATACTGTTAATTACCTAGAAGGCCCTTCATGGCCGAGCCCCCACATATCTCTGGATTATTAAATCCTTACTGTGCCAGCCGACCTCTCCGATCCAACCATCAGGGCCTCCTGGTTGTTCCTCGCTCCCTTTTTAAATCTAGAGGTGACCGTGCTTTTGAGCTCTGGAACAATCTGCTGAAATTAGATCTGCTGACTCTGTGGAGTCTTTTAAAAAACTGCTAAGAACCCACGTTTATAGGCTGGCCTTCCTTTAAGGTGTCGCTGCGTGTTGTCATCCTCATGTCCTTCCTGTCCTCTCTCTACTCTCCTTTCCTGATGATACTCTGGGTTGTACACATGCATGTTTGTTTGAACTCATTTTAAATTGCATCACATAAACTTTGTACCATATTTGATCAAAATTGTGCTTTTATGTTTTTGGATTATGTGAAAGCATTTTATAAATAAACCTATTATTATGATTATTATTATTATTATGAATATTATTCTTACTATTATTATCTATGTGTGAATGTGGAAGGAGTCACACTGAGGAACAAAGCTCCTGGTGTACAGTGACTGACAGGAACAGTAACAGTAGGCTGTGATTGAACCAGCTGTTAGAATAATCACCAGCGTTGATCACAGGCATCTTTCAAAGGCTCAGTATTGGCTGAAAACACCCACGCCCACTGCCGGTCATGTCTTTTCCGTGCTACCTTTGGGCCTCCTCAGCCTTGTGGTGAAGCAGCGCTGATGTCCTGCATGTCAGCCTGCAGAGCGTTGTGTCCGTGCACAGGCAAAGGACAACCGTATGTATGAATGTAAAAACGGATTTGGACAGAGCAACGTGTAGAAACAGAAGCTGGCGAAGTACATTATTTCCATCCACATTAACAAATCTTACACATCAACGGTGAAAACAGAAAACTGGCCAGCAGCAGCTCACTGGCTGTCACTGAACAGCATCACTGTGTAGAACAACTGGACCACAGGACAGAGGGAAGCTTGTTGGTTTGTGCGTCTGTGCCTGACCACAGCTCATCTGGAAAGGTAGCACCTCCACTCTGGGTGCTTTTATAGCTCCAACGACTCCCACAGAGTGAGTCATCTTCTCTTTGGCTGATCATGGCACATCAGTTGTAAGAGGCACACTGTCCTCCATGTTATACGAATCCTTAAAGCTAACGTTTCCTTCAACCAGGACCTTTACTATTTGGATCAGGCAGCTCATGAAAAAATAAGGTAAGCCAAAGTTAAAAGGCTACAGATGCCATTTCGGCGTCACATATTAAGGTTAAGACACTTTTAAATACCTCTTATTAATCTGGTAACTCTGTGCAAAGTGCAGTAAAGGAAAAAAAAAAAACCTATATATGAGAAGCGCCTTAAAACAGGCCCAGCTCTCCTCAGGACGTTTGCAAACAGCCGTGTTTCTGGCACTTGGCAGGTCTGTGGTCAGCATGGTAGCGGACTTAACGGTGGACTGAGTGGCTTCTGTCTGGTTATGTGAGCCAGACTGAGCGTGACGTGGAGGTCAGGGCTCTGTGCGACCACGCTGTCTGAAGACAGCTCTGTATGAGCGGCTGGACGCTTCTGCTCGCTGCCCTGCTGCACATGGGTTTGGAATGATCAGGGATCTCCCTGAGGCTGTTGTGTGACGCATAAAAATCGAAACACATGCACAGTGATGTATGAAAATCAATCACATCATTTCTAGATTTCCATATTTAGGACTTAAGACTGGGACCCATCACAAAGCCTTGGCTCCCATAAACATTCTTGTTTCCTCCTGAAAGACTTTTCATTATGATATGAGCAGAAAGTGAAGCTGAGCTTAGCCATGGCTTCTCTGCTTCATAGTCAGTAGCTGAATAATCACTAAAAATAAAAGATTATGAAGAAAAGAAAAACAAAATCTCCATTACAGCAGGATTCACGTATATCAACAAAAAATACATTAAAAAAAAAAAAGATATAAAAGTTGAAATAAGTCAAACTTTGCTTAGAAGTGAAGATGACTTACGGTGGATTTCTCACTAAAGAGAAATCTAAAAAGAACGTCACGTAGAACGTGGGGGTTTGCATTAGACGTTACATCAAAGTGTCGACATATCTCCGAACGTGGAGCGCTCGGATATCCTTCAATCAGTCCTGTCGGTACCAACAGCACGGCAGCCTGCGCTCTGTGGAGCTCATCCAAGTCAGCAGCACTTTCCTCTGCTCATCTCTGACGACTTCAAATATGAACAAGCAGCCCTGAGTCCTGGAGAGACGAGTCTTTTGAGAGAAGATGAAGCTGTCTCTCTCCCCACTACATCTTAGAAACCTTAGCTCCCAAAGGGGAGGGGGAGGCCTTGGATTAGGATCATTAAAGACTACAATAGGTTCTCCATTCAGAAGCTCACCGGGGAAAAGAGACAGCCTTGGAGGACTCCACATCTGACAGCATGTCGGGGAACTACAGCAGAGACATAGAGGCTGGAATTACTCGCACTGATCGATGTTGGGAAATAGATGGCTTTCGAGTGTGACACCATCTGTCATCTCACATAAAACAAACTGTTGCTTTCACCCAACTGGGAGAACTTCCTGTCTCCCCGATGCAGGCTCTACTGGACAGGCTGGAGCAGATTCCTCTACAACTGAACGAGTTTCTCAAACAGATTTAGAGAGAAATGTTGTTTTCTCCCAGATTATGTTTGTTTGTGAGGTATCACCAACATGTTTCTAATCATCTTGTTGCTTCTCGTCAGTCAGTCAGTGATATTTTAGATGATGAAGACCTTCACCCTGGTAACCCAAACAGATGGAGACCCTTCAAACATGTTGAGGAGGATTTCAGCCCTCAGCATGTTGTTACTGTAAACCTAAGCAAGGACGTTTCAACTAAACAGTTTAGCAGTGAAAACAAAACTAAAGTCTAACACTAATGTTCCAACATGAACTCACTTGTGTGCAGGCGCTGTGAGCAATGTGTCGCTGAGAGCCAATCCTGTCCCGTAGTTTGCGTCATGTGGTAGCAACATGCCGCTTTTGTTTAAGCATAACAGTCCAAAGCACAATGCGACTGATTCCGTGCAGATGGGTCACGTGTGTGAAACAAACCGAGCTTTCCTGAGTGAAGGTCCTGTTGCTAAATTACTGGGAATGGAAGCATTTCCTGCTACGTCATAGTCTTACCTTCCAGAGAGAGAAGAAGCTTTATTTCCAAACTCAAATGACAGTTATGTTCAGCTGTGTAGGAGTGTATTTTTTGCGAGGCGTGGCAGGTTAAAGTTCTCATCTTTCTGCTGTAAATGCAGCTCAGAATTAATTGTAGTAACATTTCAAAGTTCAGAGGTCTTGGCTTAGTTTGTTCTCCGTCCGTGTTAATGAAGTGACACGTCAGTTTTCTTTCAGATATATTGATCTCTGTGGCCATAAAATTCAAAGTCAGCCAATATATAGATGGCTCCTTTCAAGCACGCCGAGCCTCGAAGCCCTAAACCAAAGCGCCTTCTGGGCTCCATTTCGTCCAAGCAGTAATTAATTTGCAGAGTGGATTTGCTGGGACAAATTCCACTGAACTGGACTCAATGACCGTTTGCCTGTGCTGCTCTGAGATTGCGTATGGCATTTTCAGGGCAGCAGATGCACCTGGTCCTTTGTGCAGCCAAGCCAATTCATTTGTCATTTCGTCCACGTGTAAACAAAAGCCTACGCAAAAGGGCATAAATCACATTTTCCCAGTGAGGTGAGAAATAACACTACATGAGTGGAGTACAATGTGCTGCTCTTAAGTTCAAAGAGAGCTTCCAGCAGCTTGTTTGTTTCCACACTAATCATGGTATTAATAGGTTGTAAAATAAAAAAAACACCTGATTTGGGAAACTACTAACCGTGAGGCATGTGTTCCATGTGCAGATGTGCTCCATGTCTAAGAGGACCCACATGTTTCTGTGAATGACACTGATGCTAATGCCTGGAGCCTTTATATAAAACCATGTGATGTTTGCCTACTTACTGTCTTTTTTCAAACACATATATTTAAAATGCACATGAAAACAGCCGGATGAAACACCTTGTGACATGGTTTTGTTGTGCTGATGGAATGTTTGTACATGTATTTTCTGAACGTTTTTTGT